ATATTGTTTAGCCATGCTGCCGTTCGTCTCCCTCCCTCTCGTTTTCCGTCGGTGTTTGTCTCCTAAACAAGGTAAGATTATAATTTCAAAGTTTGGGTTTTTTTTTTCAAATTATTGATTTTTTTTTCTTGAATTCGAAATTTTTCAGAATTTGGGATTTGTTTGATGCCAATGAACTTTGTATTTGACATATATTTCAACAATTACAGAATTTTATTGATAATTTAGGACTCTTTTGCATGTTTAGGGTTCATCATTTTTTTTTTTGGGTATATTTTTGAATTAGGGATCTGTATGAATTTAGGCTTTGTCTGAGATGACTGTGTTGAGGAAGCAGGTAAATTATTTTATTACTAATTAGCTACCCCTCATCCTTTCATGACAATTTGAGATTAATTTATTATATTTTTCCTGCCTGTTTATTACTATGCTCTGTTTAGTTAATGTAGTACATTTTGAACAAGATGATTGTTTAAGGAAGAAGAAAAAAATCATTTAGTATTTCGTTATTGATTGTGCATTTTTCTGATGATTTTGCTTGTGTGCTGCGGTCATTTTTATCAAGACATAATAAAAAATATTTGCCGCATGATCATGCAATGTGCTCATATTCCTCCCAAATTTTTTATGCCTTTTATACTTGTTTGGATAAACTTATATGGGGTTTTAGTGTTGTAGTAGTACACTATAATACACATTTGAATGCATATCAATTTTACTAATGCTTTTTGAAAAATTGGAGGAGGAGAATGTCGATCAGGAGCCGCCGAAGAAAATGAAAATGGAAAAGGCCGATCCAGAGAGAAAGGCGGAGCAATTGGAGGCGGCCCCGGCCTATGAGCTGCCCGGAATTCTGATTGTTCCAATGGATAAGAATGCTAACAAGCCAGAGGTCATCTTTGTGTTTCAGAATGCGTCTTTGGAAATTGTGAAAGTTGGGAAGATCTGTTTTATTTCAGAAAAAAAAGGGGATACAAATGTGTGTGTGTGTGTGTGTGTGTTTCTTTGGTCAGTTATGGAGTAATTTATTTATTTTTTATTTATTTTGGTTGGATTTTCATTATGCAAACCTATCAGCTCTTAAGTTCAGACGAGCATGACAATTTTCTGGTTAAGAATAAGCGGAACCCTGCAAATTATCGGCCAAACATTTCTTTTCAGGTTCAAGTTTGAGATAGAAAAGAAAATAATTAAATTTTAGAATATTGATTGCATATATCATGGTGATGACTTTTTTTTGTATGTATGTGTGATAGCTTTGGTCAAATTTATTTGTTGCAAGTTATTGAAGAGTAATGAATGTTGTGAGTTCTATACAAGTATTTTTTCAATCTTAAGGCACTTTTGTATATTTCTACATTTGGAGCCAATTGCAACTGAGGCTATTAAATGACGCGACACTCACACAGGCAATATATTCACATGGATTACAGATTAGGAAAATAGTGTAGTACCTGTTTTTCCTACATATAATACCAATAATGATTTTATTCAGTACATGTTTTTAATCAATTAATACTCCCACAATTTTTAATAAATGTCATTTTGAGAAGTTGCACAATAATTAAGATTTTTTTTTTTGCCAAATATAACCCTCATTAATGAGAATAGAGATGAATATTTTGAGAAAAAATGAGGAGTGAATATGAAAAGACGTAGTGTATTTATTAGCTAGATGAGGGTAATAATGGAAAAATATGTACAAAAGATCTAAAACGACATTTATTTTGCTAATTGTTGATAAAACTAAAATGACATTTAAAACAAAATAGGAGGGAGTATCTATTTTGGTCATCGAAAATGAATTACTTTAATTGTGGTCCACATTTGTGAAATTAGTACCAGTCCTAGAGTTAGACATTACTCATTAAATGGTGATTTAGTACTCAATATCGGGTCTTTAGTACCAACTCTAACGAACATGAAAAAAAAGTTGAATTTCAGTCCTAAATGATGTTTATATTACTCAAAATCACTTACGCATTCGTTTCTATAAGTTTTTGAACATGTTTAATTAAGTTTCATCGCTAATTGGTCATGAACTCAACACACTAATGAACAAACACTATTAATACACTTATCTCATTCAATGATACACTTCAAGCGTTAACAATCCACGTGAAAAGGTAGACATGAAGGATTAAAGAAAATCACGAATCCTAAAATAGTACCTGTTTTAGCAAAAATAGTACCACATCTTCTTCTACGTGGTACCTGTTTGTAATAGATTAGTACCTACTGTTGTAAAGGAAAATGGATTATTTCAATGTTGGTTAACATTCACAAAAAGTAATACCAGACATAGAGTAAGATAGTACTAGTTTTGTATTGTGGTAGTACCTGATATTGGGTCTCTAGTATCACTTGTAATGAACACATAAATAAATCGAATTTTGGGCAAATGATATTTATATGACTCATATTCACTCTCACATTAGTTTATATGATATTTAACATGCTTTCAATTGAGTTTAATCGCAAATTGCTCATGAACTCGACACATTAATGAGAAAACACAACTAATACACTTCATTTTATTAAAAGACACACTTCATCTCATAGGATCATCATACATGACTACTCCAAATTCTACCTATATGTTTTAACTTCCATTATTATTCATCAAAATCATGCGTGAACAATCCACTTGTCATGGTAGACATGGAGGATTAGAGAATCACGATTATTAAAATAGTACCTATTTTAGTCAAAATAGTACCACATCTTCTTCAATATGGTACCTATTTTTGATTGATTAGTACCTATTTTTGTTAACGAAAATTGATTATTTCAATTTTGGTCAACATTTACAAAAAGTAGTACCAGACATAGAGAAAGGTAGTACCACTTTTATATTGTTGTGGTACCTTACATTGGGTCTTTAGTACCACTTGTACTGAACACATAAAAACACCGGATTTCGTTTTTAAATGATGTTCATATGACCTATAATCACTCTCATATTAGTTTATATGTGATTTAAAATGTTTTTAATTGAGTGTATTCGCAAAGTGGTTATGAACTTGATATACTAATGAGAAAACACTACTAATACACTTCATTTAATTGAATGACACACTTCATCTCATAGAATCATCATACACGACTACTCCAAATTCTACCTATATGTTTTAACTTCCACTATTTTTCATCCAAATCACGTGTGAACGATCCACGTGTCATGGTTGACATGAAAAATTAGAGAAATTACATTTTTTAAAATAGTACATGTTTTATCCACAATAGTACCACATCTTCTTCTACGTGGTACCTGTTTTTGATCTCTTAATACCTACTTTTGTTATCGAAAATTGATTATTTCAATTTTTGTCAATATTTACAAAAAGTAGTACCAGACATAGAGTAAGATAGTACCGGTTTTACATTGTTGTGGTACCTGACATTGGGTCTTTAGTACCACTTGTATTGAACACACAAAAACACCGAATTTTGGTTTCAAATTATGTTTATATGACTCATAATCACTATCACATTAGTTTATATGAGATTTAAGATGTTTTTAATTGAGTTTATTCACAAATTGGTTATGAACTCGAACACTAATGAGAAAACACTACTAATACATTTCATTTCATTGAATTACACACTCCATCTCATATAATCATCATACATGACTACTCCAAATTCTACATATATGTTTTAATTTTTTTTCATCTAAATCACGTGTGAACGATCCACGTGTCATGGTGGACATGAAGGATTAGAGAAATCACAATTCTTAAACTAGTACATGTTTTAGCCAATATAGTACCACATATTCTTCTACGTGGTACCTATTTTTGATCAATTAATACCAACTTTTAGTCAACAAAAATGGATTATTCAATTGTAGTTAAAATTTGCAATAATTGGTACCAAACCTAAAGTAAGATAGTACCAGCTTTCGGTGTTTTAGTACCAGATAGCGGGTCTTTAGTACCAACTCCGACGAACATAAAAAAACACCGAATTTCGGTCTCAAGTGATGTTTATATGACCAATAATCACTTTCACATTAGTTTGTATGAGATTTAAAATGTTTTAAATTGAGTTTAATCGTAAAGTAGTCATGAATTCGTACACTAATGAGAAAACACTACTATTACACTTCATTTCATTGAATGACACACTTCATCTAATCGAATCATCATACATGACTACTCCAAATTCTACATATATATTTCAACTTCCTTTATTTTTATCCAAATCACGCGTGAACGATCCACGTGTCATGGTAGACATGAAGGATTAGAAATCACGATTCTTAAAATAGTACATGTTTAAGCTAAAATAGTACCACATCTTTTTCAATGTGGTACCTCTTTTTTATCGATTAGTACATACTTTTGTGAACGAAAATAAATTATTTCAATTTTGGTCAATATTTACAAAAAGTAGTATCAAACATAGAGTAAGATGGTACCAATTTTATACTGTTGCAGTACCTGATATTGGGTCTTTAGTACCACTTGTAATGAACACATAAAAACACCGATTTTACCTATAATAGCACTTGTTTGCTTCTTTGTAGTACCAAAAACAATACCAGATTTACCTATAATAGAACCACATTTGTTTCATTGTAGTACAGGTTTGAGTCCCCCTCTGCGCGAACCTTCCACCATTTTTTTTTTGCACTTATAATAATTAAAAGTATGTACTAATCCCTTAAAAACATGTACCACTTAGAAGAAAATGCAGTACTATTTTGGATAAAATAAGTACTAATTAAATTTTAGTATGAGTGCAAAAAAAGATGTGGAAGGTTCACACAAAGGAGGACTTGAACCCGGGTCTGGGCAAGTCCACACCATAAACGTCGTCCATCTACCATCCTGTCTCTAAGCAATCACCTTTATTTATGAACAAATTTAATTCTTATCTCTAAAGCTCAAACTTTATAAAGTCCTACTTAACCTCCTTGACTTATAAAAATTAAATTGTACTTCTTACTTAATAAATTATATTAATTGGCATATTTACCAATTTAATTAAAAACTTAGGATTAATTTTTAAATTAACTTTTTGTACTTGAAATTTAACCAATTTAATTTGGTTCTTAAAATATTAAATTGGTTCCATCCAGAAATATCAAGGATATAATACAAATATTTTTAAATAATGGAACTAGTTAAAAAATTAATGAACTAGGATATGATGCGACTACCATATTTCAATAATAGATTTATTACTATTATGAAAGCAACATTGCTTGTTCATGTTCATCGGGATGGATTGAACACGATCATTCAGTCTTTCATTTATTTCAATGGCAACTATCGCTACAATATTTACTTTCAAACAGACATGTAACCGAATCATGTTTTTTACATCACCATCACCGGACAAACTAACTCTCTTTCTTTTTTTTCCTTCAGCGCAATATAGCTTAGCATGACGGATTCGAAATTAACATTTGACCACCTCTTAGCAATGAGATTGTACATTTCGTCAAACGTTGATCAAAGTACATAGAGAATACTAGGGTTGTAAACGAGCCGAGTCGAGCTCAAGCTTAAGGTGTTTGAGCTCGAGCTCGAGCTCTTAAGGAGCTGAGCCGAGCTCGGCTCGTTAAGTGAACGAGCTAAAAATTGAGCTCGGCTCGTTAAGGCCTCGAGCTCGAGTTTTAACGAGCCGATCTCGAGTTTTAACGAGTCGAACTATAAAAAATTATATAAATTTCACTTTTCGAGTCTTATCGAGCCGAGCCGAGCCAGACTCGTTTAGTTTAACAGTACTAGAGAACACAAACAATTCATTTTTTGTAGGTACAACTCCCTAGTGTATCACTTTGTACCCCTTTCATGTATCTAACCATAATTCGGTAAAATAAAAAATAATTTCAAATTTCCCCGCAGATATGGTACCAAACAACATTAAAGTGGTATTACAATATACAAATAGAGGTACAAAAATAAAGAATATTAGTACAATAATCAATCTCATCTTATATTTTTTTTTAGGGTGAATAACATCTAACATAACCTACAAATAGCATCAATTTAGTATATATGAACAACAAAAAAGAGATTATGATCAGTTTGTGTTTTAGGGAAAATATAAATAACAATTTTTAAAATTGAATCCTTAACAAATTAACAAAGAATATAGGAATTAAAGACGATTTTTGGACTCCAAAGTCTTCATATAATATATACTACTTCAAATTTTGC